TATTATTGTTGTTGTTATTATTATTATTGTTGTTGTATTATTGTTATTTATAATTTGTACAATTAACTTCCATGTGGTTCGATCCCAGTCTTACCGAGTTATTTATTACTTCGACACTCCTGCACTTGAGACAAGACATCAATTTTTTAGTCGTGTCATCTATTTTTATCCAAAACACCATAAACACCTTGATAAATTTATTTATGGTCTAAAAAACAAAAAAAACTCAAAAAACTAAAATAAATTTGAACCCAAAAACATTTTTGTTATCAAATCTATCTCATCAGGCAAGGAGAAGGAAAAAAACTCCTAGGTAAAATTACCCTTATTAAATGGAAGCCATTGATGTCAATTTTAACCTTTTTGGTTGAATAAACAATCGATTTCTCTCGCTAAGTTAGAATTCAACATCCTATCTCTCACTCATCTAATAAATAAAGGACAAAAAAATGAAGTATATATACTTTTGTATGAAATTAAATTTTGAATAACCAAAGAGACTAATCATCAATAAACCTAAAAAGATAGGGAATAAAAATAATTTTTTTGAATAAAAAGATTGAATCCACTATCTATATTACTTGGTTTTTCACTTTAATCCTCTTCTTTTCAATCCAACTTTTCTTACCTAGAAAACTTGCAACTAAAAACTAATTTGAGCTTGAAAACACCTAAATTATATTAAAATAATTTGAGAATTAAATTAATTTTTTTTAAACCGTAACTATTACAATCTACCGTAATTCGTGAGATATAAATAGTATTACTTGGTTTTTCACTTTAATCCTCTTATTTTCAATCCAACTTTTCTTACCCAGAAAACTTGTAACTAAAAGCTAATTTGAGCTTAAAAACACCTAAATTATACTAAAATAATTTGAGAATTAAATTAATTTTTTTTTTAAAACCGTAACTATTACAATCTACCGTAATTCGTGAGATATAAATAGTATTGGAAGCTACACCCCCCTGAGCCAAATTACGAAATGTGCACAAATCATGCCTTTAAAGGTAAAAGTTTATAATTCTAAGCTATTTGTTGACAGCCATGGGTGAGCCTGCAAAGTTTACTGAAGCATGGCACTCAAAGCCTTTCATAAGTGAAATATACATATCTTGGGATTGTTCAAGCAAAGAAGAAAGAGCACATTTCTAAGTAGAGTATGCTTTCACACGTACCGGAAATTGTATCAAACTACCATTTTATTTTGACTATCAACCTTTTTTGTTTTTTTAGCTTTGTAAAGTCTTATGTACTTATAAATTTTAGAATATAAAATATGGTTTTTGAAAGAATTGAGAAAAGATAAAAAAATGACTAAATTTCACAAGCATCGAGGTTTCAAGCAAAGAAGAAAGAGCACATTTCTGAGTAGAGTGTGCTTTCACACGTACAGGAAATTGTATCAAACTACTATTTTATTTTGACTATCAACCTTTTTTTTTTTTAGCTTTGTAAAGTCTTATGTACTTATAAATTTTAGAATATAAAATATAGTTTTTGAAAGAATTGAGAAAAGATAAAAAATGACTAAATTTCACAAGCATCGAGGTAATTTTCTCAATGTTTTTATACACAAAAGCTTATTTGTACAGTATTACTTCAAAAAAAGAGAGTCAAGTGCATGGACTTGGCCTTGCATATACATGAAAGCAGACTTTGTTTTTTTTTTTTTCTCTCTGGACCAGGCGTGCTGGCCTCATCTTTTTAGCTTACGTATTTGGCCTCTTGATTTTTTTCATCATAGAAATACACGACGAAAAAATAAATAAAAATCTAAAAATTTTAGGATTTTTTACAAAATTATATATAAAATTATTAGATTTTATGCAATATCTAATTCAAAAATATTATTTATAATATTAATAATAATATTAAACTTGCATTATTATCCAAGTTTAAGTACATTTAACTGCAATACCAGACCTGGAACCTTGTATATGAATCTAGTTATAATGTCATAAAAATTTGAAAATTAAAAAAATAAAAATAAAAAATTTAATTGAAAAAAAAAATAATAAAGCAAAACATTATTCCAATGAATAGTGCTTTGCAAGGAGGGGTACAGTAAAATCCTCTAATGAGATCACAATAATCTAATGAACAGTAAATAAA